TGAAATTGTCCTAAATCCTCCTGCTTCGCCATTGCATACAGCAATAAGGAATAAGTGCAAATGAAAGACTAATGAAGTGGTTTATCATGAAGATTTCATGATCAACACTAAATTTTTGACTTTAGCCCCCAAAAGAGTACCAAAACCTGTTCACCACAACAGTATAAAATCCATTAAACCAATTAATTCACTTCCTTTGATGTAAAATAAATAATAAAATGTTTAAATGTGCAACAGTGTCCATAAAAAGTAGGTCAAGATCACGATAGAGTTAAAACACAACCGATGCGATGGATAGAATAATGCACTGTCCATTAAAATGGAAATGAGTCTTAGGTTTCAATAACATGCAACGTAATATATCTCTTGCACCACAAACCACGTTGTCATATATCTAATTGAGTTATTTTCTCATCATAATACAACAGTCATGTATCTGATCGATTAAACCTTTTCATGCGAGAAGCATTAATTAAGAATAATAATAAGAATGAGCATATATAATGTAAAAACGGTTGTGCAAGATTGACATTTCCTCAATAGAGAGATAAAAAAAAATCTCATTACGCATTTAATCGAATTGACATTTTGATTCGCCTCATCTCACATCGATTCGTGATGAATTCTTCATGTTTACACCTTTAAGAGTGGATATAAACAATTCATTCGCAATGTAATTTAATTGATGGGGCATTGGAACATCGATTACTGTAATAATAAGATGCCTTAAGCACACGAGATTCTATATATTAAGAAACTTGACCAATAACATGTAATTTTTTGTTTCAAATATTAAATTCTCTTCATTTGCTTCTTCTCCTAAAAAATCGCTTGAGATTCATGCTAATGTCGACTTAATTTATTTCCATTCAGACGTTATTGTATTGCGTTTTTTTGTTTCATCTTTTGTTGGGTGCGTATGAAAAAAAAAGAGAAGAAATAACAAGTTTTAATTCAAAATGATGTCTGTGGTGGAATCAAGGTTGAGGTTTGGCACTTTTTATTGCCAGTAAGTGTTAGATTTTACATAAAGTTAATAGGTGCAATGAATCACAAATGAATTTGAAGTTTAATTCTCATCAAGTGTTAGAATATTATTATGAGAGATTTATTGATGGGAATTTTATTAAATATGATTTATAAGTTTGATTACTTTTGTGGTTTTGTATCTCAAAAATAGTTGTTGTAAGTAACGGGATAAGCATCAATAAAGCTATAACATCCAGAAAACTATCACTAAGAATCACTGGCTAGTCACCCTGTACTCACACTTTAGTCACCCCAAAAACAAAGCTCTCTTCCAAAAACATTCAAGTCAAGCACTAAAGACGGGAAGTCAAAAAACCTTTTAACTCAATATTTTCAAAATACTTCCCATCGAAATTAAAAAAAAAACTAATTTCAAGTCTAAAAGGAAACATCCAAACAAATAACTTCATTTGAGTTATTCCGACTTTATTATGATATTATGAATGATTGACTTAAAGCACATATATTAAGCAATGGTAAATTAAGTTATAAATCAAATTTAAAAGATTTCTTGCGGTAGTGTCTTAAAGATTTATTTCTATTAATCTTCTCACCTAATTCGCATTGGAAAAAGAAGTTCATTCATCGCCTCCCATTTAATAAAATTTATTTATTGTATTTTATTTTTTATTAAAAGAACATTATTTTAAATTGTTCTGAATTGGTGTTTAATGGTCCATCTTCGATTTCCGCACGTGTGTTTTTTGGAATTAAAATTCATTGGATTTTAAAAATTTTAATTCATGAAATAAATGGGAATTCATTATTGTTTATTATTTTGCGTATTAAAGTGGATTTTTTTGGGATTTTTAGTACTGGATGAATTAAGCTTACTTCTTGTGGTTTCGAAGCAGAGTGGAATCTGGGATATTGATCCACATATAGGGGAACCTGTCAGTGCTAGAGTTACCCTTTGTGGAGTGGTTGAGCAACAGACTGGATATCTGTAACCCTCTTTAGTGAGAACTTAGGTTCGATTCCCACCGAAGATTAAATCTCTCAATCATTTTGTAAAATGTAATTAATATGACTAAGATTTTTACAATGCACTCACAACATAACACTTCTGTTAAAGCCTTAAAGCTTATAAACTTGATAAATGAGACAACTACATCCATAAATCCCATACTATGGACATATTTTGTAAGCTTTTAATCACCTATCTAAAAACGCCTCTAAAACAAATCAGTAAACTCATAAAAATCAAGATTTAACTATCTGAAGCTAATTAATTTCCAATTCAACACCAAAGAACATGAACATGATCACATGACAGCTAATAATCATAACCATAGCCCTTCAATTACAACTCATGATCAATCAACCTTTATCTAATGTATTGAATCAATGTATGAACCGTAGAATCGCAATAAACATAGGTCACGATATCCATCAATCAGTGATAATAAAATACCAACTGATCAGTTATTCGAGATATAACATTGAAAAGTCTTGACCTCGACAAATGGCAAAATCATAAAGTACCAAGACAATTTTTATATGTTCATTAAAATAAACAATAATTTTTTTTATGACACAAAAAAGAATATTAATAGTGAGAAAAAGACAGCTGGAAGCAATCAAAATTCTGCAACCATTCCATTTAAGGATTGTTACAATAACATTGCTGTATATTGTAAAGACAGAATAAATGCAGATCAAGTTCATGCATTATGGAATTCTAATAAATTTCCACATTACGCTTTTCGAGAATTTTTTTTTTCATTTATGTTATCTAGACGTGATTTAGCAATAAAAATACAGCCACAGATTTCATTGTCCACTTTATAGAACTGAGTGAGTGTCAAACAAATACAGAAACAGAGCAATGCAAACGACCTTGATTGCAAACTAAAGTTTTATTTTTTTTTATTTATATTTCTACATTTTTTGACATCATTTAAAGTTTCACAGTTTCGCAGTTCTATAAGTTTTGCGGATTTTTTTATTTCACATCATGAAGGTCGCTTTGCATGTACTCTGCAAGTTAATTTATATAATACTGTAGAATTCTATTCGTTTTTCTGTATTTTTCTTGTTAAGGCGAATTTTTTTTTTTAAGTAAATCACGTCAAGAAGGGAATTTAAGCTTAAAATGTTCAATCAAAATTGTTCAATTATTTTTTTGTTTTCGTTGCTAGGAAAGAATTTTGTGTGTGGATAATAAGAATGGCATAGGATTGTGAAGATTTATGTGGTTGGTTTAATATTTATTATGGTTGAGCTTTGAATAAAAGTCTGAGTTTTTTAAATTGCCTTTTTTTAAACCCTGTTAATTTTGAACAGCATTTGCAGTTATATAAGCTTTAGAATGGAAATTATGAAGCCCATAAAGCCTAATTATTCGAATGCTGTAGGATGCTTCAAGCTAGTGAATGTCCAAAATTATTTTATTTGGGTATTTTGCAGCTGTTTCATGCATACAATATTATTTCATAAACAGATGATACAAAAATTTTATATCTAAAAATATTCAGCATTTTTGAGGGATGCATTCGCAAATGACGTCCATGAAAAAATGGATTTTAATGACAACACGTTGAAGATAAATTAAATTCATCCAGATTATGACTAGAATCTAAGGTTTTAAGCGATTTAGGGAGACGTACTCTCGCAATTGTGCATGAGATTTTTCAAAACCTTAATGACCTTACAATCCTATCAAGGGTGCGGAACTGATTAATAACATTTTGATAATTTTTGATCATTTCATCAGTAACGCACACTTGAATTCTATTAAAAGTTTCTGTATTTCTCGTCAAAGAGCATCAAAACTTGTATTCAAATATTAATGCTAGACATCATTTATAAACTAACCTCCAAAAAAAATTCAGATCCATATCCTAAGGACATTTCTGCATAAAAAAATGTCAAAAGAAACAAAAAATAATTTTTTGTAGCATGCAATTACCAAAAAAATTACAAACATATTTGTATAATTGAATAATGTGGTATGTAAACCAAAAAATACTTGCGGTATCCTTTGGACTTTGATTCTTCTTAGTCTTCTTAGCCTTCTTTTGTTTCTCTTTCCTGACACATGAAAAATTTTTAAACACACACAAAAATATAAAAGAAGAAAAATTATTGCCATAATGACGATACACGAGCCAAGAGCGAAATAAATACATATTAAAAGGCAAAAAAAAAGCATTAAGCCAGCTGATTGTGAAAACGTTATTGACTTCATTAATGTTTTATTGTTTCCCATGAGAATAATTCATAATTTAAGCGCCATAAATTCCACTTTTATTTTATTAATACTATTAAAAAATGGTGAAAAACTAGCAAAACAAACATATTTCTTTATTAGCTTGCAAGCTACACAACGGTTCTGTTTTTATTTGTATTATTTGGCTTGCAATAGGTATTTAAATCATAAACATAATGTTGTGTCTTTTAAATGTGTTGTTATGCACCGAAAAGCTGATTTATTGTAAAATTTGTTGGTGATGTTTAGGGATTTTTGCTGTTAAAGCTTGATTTTTGGATGTTCTGGGGTGTTGTGTAAGGCATACCTCATTTGTCTGCTGGTTCCATGTGAATAGTTTCTACCCAATTAAGGTAGGTTAGACACAAGAGTTTGAATGGCTTAATATAGCTGAAAATATTATGCATCAACACCCTTCTGAACTAATGCCCGTGCGAAGTTTGTGAAACTGATCAAACACCATTTGACATGATCAAAGGGGCCGTAAATTATGAACGTTCAGGGGGGGGGGGGGGGGGTCGTAAGTTGTAACATATTGTAACAGGGGGGGGGGGAGGGGGGGTGAAAAAAGTCGTTTTTTTGCGTAACGTAATAAGTAAACGCCCCAAACGTGATTGATCAGCTCCTCACCCTTGTATGATGGTCATCCAAATCATTTACTACTGTGCATGCCTGAAAATTAGTTTGAAAAAAATTAAATAATCCAATTATCGGCCAATTATAACATCAATTAACAATAATTCCAGTAATTACAAAAAGTTCAATGAACAAAGTTTAAAATGAACATCAAATATGCATAAGCTTCGTTCAATATTTGAGCAAACAGTTCCATTTCTAGTTCACCGAAGATTGGAACAGTCAATTTAGCTAAATTTTGACACATATGAATGTGCTGCAGAAATATTTTCTGACTAGGAATTGACAGTTCATACCAAGGAAATGAACAAAATTCCTTCAGAAGCTTCTCATTTTGATATGACACGATGCTACCCAAAAGACATGGCAGCAACACTTCAATGAAAAAAAGTAAAAAAGTTGAGACTCCGATGGTTATTGAGAAAATGTAAGCAAGTAGAATAGCTAGTCCCATCGACAAAGAATTCAGTGAGACAGCAACAAAAGTTGTCATCTCGATAAAGGATTCATTCATTTTTACATATTCGTCATAGTTTTGAGAGTCTTGGATGACTGTGACGAGATGCTTTTCAATTTTCATTAATTCCTGTTGATGCCGTTTGTAGAAAATTATTTCTAATGTTTTAGCTTTTGTCGATGACGATGGAATAGACTTGATGAACAAATTGTACTTTTTGCGTTGTGTTTCTTGAAACTTTTCAATTTCACTTCCAAAATTTCTTATTTTAATCCTAATCATGTTGACCATTGGGATTGTTTGTAAAATAAAGTATAGATTGAATAAATCTCCTGATATCATGATAATTCCAATTAGCAAGCTTCCAAGAACCAAAATTAAAGTATTTAAAAGAAAATCGAACATGAAACGTTCAGGATCTGTAAATGGCACATAAAATGGCACAAATAAGAAGAACTCTTTGTAGATCATTGAATAGATAAGAGCAGATATTGATGGCACAGTATAAGTTATCAGCCCAATTGTAAGGTATGCTTTCAGTGCAATTTTGAGTGTTTTAATATGAGAATCTAAAGCTATTCTGTTTTGTATGACTTTCTCTTCACGCATGTAAAAAATATTGATGCTCTTTTGAATCAACAATGTAGTATTTTCGTCATCTCGTACAAATCGATTGAACAATCTTATCATTAGCTGCAGGGCAATTGATTCCAACAATATAGAGTTGCAGATTTTGAGAATGTCAGGCCAAATAAGAATGAATCCATTTCCTTGCATTATTAACATAGTAATGCATAATATGATACTACCGAAAAGCCTTGGTGACATCATTTTTGCGTTAGGAAAGTTTGTTCCATAAATGTTGCCCAAACGGTTTATAAAATTTCGCAATTCTATGAAAGAAAAGGTTCATTTTAAGTCAAATTTGAAACTTTTTCTTGACAATTTCTTACCGATTGCTTTATCTGAAGGTAAATTTGACATGTCAGGACATGTCTGTAGCTTTCTTGTGACTAACATTCTATAATAATTTGATTCGGTATTATATATGTTCATAGTATGAAAAATAATTGCTACATGCTTATTTAAACTTCAGAACTTAAAAAAAAACTTCAAATAGAATTTAAAGTTTACATTATTGATGTGTCCACGTGTAAGCACTTTAGAAAAGTTCTGTTTTGCTTGCGTCATAATGAGCATGTGTGAGCATGACTATAAACAGCGTCCATTTGTTTTGAGTCTACAGATTTGGACTCCAACCCCTTTTCTGTCTACGACAACATTCTCATTCAATAACTCTAGGAATATTTTAAATGCTTAAAAAACTTAACACATATTTAATGTCTAAAGACTTTTATTTACTGCTACAAAATCAGAGAGTCGAGTGCTTATTTATATTGTGTCATAAGGGATTTACATGCATGAATATTACACACAGGTTAAAGTTCACGTTTTTGTATGTAAAACTGCAATAAATCTCTTCTTTACCAACAATGATTCATAATCTATACGTGATCAACATTAAGGTATTTTATAGAAAATCAACATGAAAATGTTTTCGTTTACGTAGCAGTAAAATTTACTTATGGTGCTTTATTGACAGTAAAATAAATTTTCAGCATCATTTCGATAACTTTAAATAAAATAAACGAAAACTTTTATCACATTTGCGTATGAAAAAAAAATATATTTTTTATTGATAGGAAATATGAATGATTTTTAACGAAATAAAAAAATTGTCAATATGCGGAACGAGGAAATGTCATTTAGTACGGCTGATGCAATTTATTGTGATCATAATTTTCATTGCACTTACTCTCACTCAAGTTACAATATTGCACATTACTATGAATAAATATTTACAAATGCTCTCAAATCATCCTTTTTTTAAAATTTGTTAAAGCATCACTTTAGTGCAATTGCCCATGAAATGACAATAAAAACGCACTCGATAATTTGCGGCATTTCCTTTATACTCGTTCATCATTCAACTCTTTTGTGTCAATATTATTATGTGTATATTTTATATAGTTGCTGATTGGGTTTAAGTATCATAAACATTTAAATGGCAAAAGTGTTGAAATACTGTTGATGTGCTGTGTTCTAGCGGACATAAAAATGCTGTTATGTTTTAGTCTGGGGGTCGAGTTGTGTGCTTGAATTCTTTGTTTGAAGGTTTATTCAAAAAATAAGTTTTAAATGGTTTATTGAAACTTTCTTAAATGATTTTGATTAAATATGAGTTTTATCAGTTTGACTGGTGGTCCTGATCACCTTCGTACCTCAATACGTTATGTCTTTTCTCAATACGTTCCCGTCTGTTTAAGACGGGTGTAGGACAATTCCTCACTTACATTTGGCCACTTGTAAATTCGCCCACTGGTATATTTCACCCTTTGATTGATAAACTCTGTTTTGATAATCCAATAATCATTTAATGTGCATCTGTCCACAGTCCATTCCCTCACACGTACTGCATACCTAAATTACACTTTTAACTTCAACATTAAAGCCCTCTTAAAGTCAGTTTCAACCCTTTAAATTGCAGTGGCAAAAATAAATATTGCAATCATCTCTCCAGCGCATACATTTCTCTTCTCATTATCACCATCATTATTATAGCTTTTACACAACAATAAATTGTTTCACCTTGTTTCCTCAACGAACTTTTGATTGCAATTGATTGAAAAATTTCATTATTTGATTCATAGTCGTCTATCACGGTATTGTACATATTATTTGTGAACAACGGTGCTAATGACGTGCTTGAGATACATTAAGATAATAAATTAATAATGAGAGAAAATGGGGTAATGGACATTGAGACCAGGTTGAAGTGGTCTGTACTTGATGTTTATTTAGTTTAAAGAGCAAAATTCAATCAAGATGTGAAAAATGAGCTAGACTGGCTCATCAGAGCTTTGTTTTAATACTTCGATACCTTACAAAATGCCAGAAAGTATATGTTTGAGACTAAGCAGGCTGACTATTGACAATCAAGTCAATAAACTAATTCTATCTTAAAATCAAGTTGAGGAAGAAGTTCCGAAACCCACCATATTTCCTAAACTGGCAACAACTTTCCTTTACAGCATAAAAAACTCGTCCTAATGCCATTAAACCAACACTGTAGATGAAAAATCATTACCATAGCTTTTACACGGAAAGAATTATTGTACCGATCATTAGATATGCCGTAAACTACAACCATAATTATAAAGGCTCACGTTTATTTTTTTTTTCTCTGTTTGTACTACAAACTTCGATAACCAGATTACAACATAGTCGACTTACTCTCGATTATTTTTTTTTCCAGCCGACCAACAGAAAGAAAAAGTAATCGAAAAGAGAAGCCAAGAAAAGAAGGAAAGAAGTGGAGTGCTTAAGTAATAGGCAACAATTTAATGCCTTACTTTTTCTTTATTCTCTCAGTTTTTTTTTTCTTCTTTGCGACGACTAGCCGAGTGACTCGGACAATGCCTTCTTTTTCACAGCTTGCATGCCTGTGGCCTCGATGTTAATTGAACCTTCTTTCTCTTTTCAATTTGTTTGTTGTATTAAATACTTGAGGCTTACCTTACAAAAGGAAATATATTAAATTATGGATTTTTGTTGTAGCTTTTAAAATTTTAAAATTATTCTTAATATTGCTTAAGTACACGAGAGTCCAGAAATGATATCAGAACAGATTGAACCCCCCAAAAAAATCAAATCTCTTTTGGGGCGGTTCACTTATGACGTCAAGGGGGGGGGGGGGTCAGCAAAAAAAACATTAGAAATTCTTGGAAATCCATTGTTCTTTTTTTTAAAAAAGACCGTTAATTTCAGACGTCATAAGTGAACGACTCCTTTTCACAATCGAACCCCTCAAAAAAAGAAATTTCAGCCATTAAAGCAGCAAGTCATGAAACATTATGGTAGGGCAGTTGACTTTTTAGTTTCATTAGTTCATTGAATTATGACCGATTGGCTGTTTTCACTGCCTGCTTTTCTTACATCCACAAAAATTCGCATGCCATGAAACATTTCTAACCCGATGACGGAAGTCAATTTAGATTTTTTTTCTACTTTATTTTGTGTTTGCATGAATCTTGTGTGATTTTGATAGCTTTGACTTTTTTCCACTATTTTGTGTAATTAGTGAGAGAAAAACTTCCTGCAAAAGATTATCGGATTGCTGCTTAATGAAATCTAAACAGTTTAAGTGCGAAATCAAATTGACAAAAATAATTAAATATTAATGATTGACGTTAATAACATTAAGTAATGGAGAGAAATCTCTCGGATCGTAAATTACACATTGGATTACATAAATAAGTTATCGACAGGCATCAAAAATTACAGTTTTTGGCGCCATCGACAGTCATTTAATTGCGAAAAAAAAAGTTTCTCTCTCATCAAAATATTGCAAATCAATAATTTCACACTTCTTTTTATTTACAGGAAGGAAGTGTAGGTCATGAATTAATAATTCGTCCAGTGCCATTGGATGTCTCAAAAGCAGATGATGGTAGTGTTCATCATGTAATTTATAAACGAGACAGTGAGCGACAATTAGATGAGCAATTAAGTGATTTTGCATATATGGAACCTGATCGATTACAGAAGCGATACAAGCGCTCATCAGATGCTGAAGCTGAGAATGTTGAAAAGACAAGGAGTAAACGTGACATTCCAAATGTCATTTATCCGGAAATTCTAGTTATTGTAGACTACGATGGATACCGATTACATGGTGGTGATAATGTACAGGTGAGTGAGATTAATCCTTTTAGTTATCAGCCTTGAACTTAACACACTTTTCATATGTAGATTAAACGATATTTTGTGTCATTTTGGAATGGAGTTGATCTAAGATATCGTCTATTAAAAGGTCCCAAAATCCGTATAAGTATTGCCGGCATTATCATTTCAAGGGTGAGTACATTAAATCTGTCATATCCATTCGAACTTTATTGGCTTATTAGACAGGTTGTGTGGATTGAGACTCGATTGTGATTATGTTAATCTACCTTAATCCACATTTCCTGCCTCAATCTACAGCACATGCCATAGTCATTACGCACAATCACACAAACACATTAAGCAGTGTTAAAGGAATTTAAAAAAGAATGTGAGAAAGTAACCATACATGATTATGGCTAGTACATGACTATGATGACTAGCAATAGGCCCAGTATGGCCCTTGCATCGTTACATTTAACGATTATATGATGATAACTTCTTTCATTCTTTATTTTTCGACCCTTTTCTACTGTCATAAATAGAATCGTTCCATATGAACACAAAAAAACGTGATACATGTACCTTCCATTCATGACAAATACGTAAGAATATTTCTTCTCTCCCCATTCATTTCAATGTATATAAAGTGAGTCACATATAGAAAAAATTTAACATGAAAAAACACTCAATGGTTTTGCAACAAAAAAAAGGAGATGTGAAGAGGAATGAATTGAAGAAGTTCCTGAATAAGTGAACGATATTGAAGAGATATTGAATTTTTCTTGCTTAGTTACTCTTTTGTGAGTCTTTTGTGTGGATTTTGAGTGGTTCTGAAATGTCGGAATTTATTCATTTTAAGTGTTTTTCAATTGAATTGACTTGAATTGCATAGCATTGTGATTTAAAATTGAATTATTTAAGAATTAAGAGAACAAAGCAGTTATTTTACTTTAATCACCAAATTTTCACAATACTTTTTACTTACTTCCTTGGCTAGGGCGCACATGGGTTCATTGCCGCGTTCAGACATCGTCTAAAGACAGCTCTATCCTTCGAGACCTTCTGCCAGCTTAAGATCTTAACGACTCTAGCCTCCTTATCAATACATCCAATCCAGATTCACAAAACTGCTTAGTAATGACAATTTTGAAATTTTTCCCGCCATTTTGTTAAAGCATTCATTTGCTTTAGAATCAATTCTTAAAGACATAACTTATCCTCAAAATGAATGAAAGTAGCTTTGCTTACTAATAATAAACAAGTTTTAATTAGTATATTCAAAGTATAAGATCAATTTAAGATAAATTTCGCTTTCTGAAATCTCGAGGTGAAAAAAATTTTCCCACCAAAAAATTCTCAGATTCAGAAATAACAATTTTAAAGCTTAATTTAAACGAAAAACAAATCAAATTCCATAAATACAAGATCTTTGAAGCCCTATTCATCAGTTGATTGAGGATTTTCGTAGATTTTAAAAGAAGGGGATTCATAAGAACTTATCGAGGATTTATTTTTTCTATCAAAATTTACCTGCTTTGTGTGTTCAGTTTTACTTCATAATCCCGAAAAACAAGAAAATCCCCAGTTTGATTAAATAGCGATTGCAAGCATTTCAATTTGGCTAATGAACTTCCGTAAAAATAAATAAATTTAAAGCCTCAGTTCGATAAACACTCACGTGAAAAAAAAAATTGAGAATTGAATGGTATTTTTATTAACTTATCACGTAGATGGAATGCATATCATGTCGAATTTCTTTTTAATTGATATATACCGCATACAATGCATTTCATTTCAATTATGTTTCCACATTTGTTTCTTCATTGCCCTTAAAAAATAAATATTTTGAAATAATCGAAAAAACATGCTAGAAAAAAAAGAAAGATTGAAAAATTGAGACACAAAATGAAATTGAAAATTGTGTAACAGATTTTGTGGTACATTAAATATCAATTTCCATAGCTCGAGCCTGTAGCTGGCAATTTGGATAATAAAATTTAAATAACTGGAATTAGATAAAAGTGCAATAAATGTTAATTGAAAATGTTCATTTTCGATAGGCAGTCAATTGATTGGAGTGTAAATGTCTTGATTTATGCAACTTTTATTTTCCATTTAAAGATTAGGAAATGTTGGGGTTTAGAGAGGCGAGTAGAAGAGGTGTGGATGATTGATGGTGACTCAAATGAAAGTTTTGGGAGAGATTGCAGTTCAAAACTCAACGATTTTTCAGAATTTGAATTTAAAATTTATCGGTTTTTCGAAGTTTGAATTTAACGGGTTTTGGATTTGAATTCAAAATTTAGCGACTCTTCTGAGATTTGAAGCTTAACTTTTCTTTTTCGTTTTATAAAATCGCCATAAAAATTAAGCAAACAATTGTAAAGAAAAGTTCAATTGTCTACAGCAAAAACAGCCTCCCATTCATCTAAACGCCAATTATCAATTCCATCCTACAACATTCAACACGACATCGTACATTGTCTATCGACTGCTGCATAGAAAGTGACCTTTTCCAATCTCCATCGATATTTTCCTTGTTGATTATTTGCATGCAATTTGTTTGCTCTGAATATTTCTTTTGGTACCATCAATTAAGGCATTGACATCGCAGCCAATAAACATTTTTTTTGGTCGATTGCACCATGAACTGCCACAAACATTTATTCATTCTCTGTTTTGTCATGTTACTGTCAATTGATTTTTATTTTTTTTTCTCTTCTTCCGCATCGACTTCAATTTTTATCTGATTCACTGGAAGCATTTTCTATGACCGATGCAATAATTTTTGCAATGTCTGTAAAGCAATTTTTGAGTCCGGAAATGAAAGAAGAAGGAATTTAAAAATTGGACTCGCTTGCCGCTCATTCCTTCAAAATTCACGAAGGAGAAAATGTTCAAGCCAAACAAAATTTTAATTGGAATTTATTATGTTTTGGCTGTGCAACCTAGAGAAATGTGAAGGCTGCTATGGTTAGACCATATATGCATACTAGTCATATTCAGGCACATGCATATTCCACCCAACATTGAGCAATTTGAAAATTGAAAATAAAAAAAAACCGCACTAATCCGCGGGATTTTGCTTGAAAATTGAAATGAAACAATTGTGGTTGAACAGTTTACGTTTGTTCCTATATAAATTTGACATCTTTGAATTCTATGGAGAAATTTGCATACGAGGAGCTTTTTTAACTGTTCCATAATAATTGAATAATAAACAATAATGTTTTTTGCTTCCTTCGGCTGACCCGAGACAAATATCATGAAAATTATGTTGTGGAATGTTATGTAGCCTAAATGAATATAAATCAGGAGGATATGTTAGGTGTGCACCGGTGTGCTATAAAAAAGCCAGACGGTAAAGCCAGAATACTATGTGTGTGATTAGTTGTGTAACTGATGAGAATGAAGATGTATAAAGTACTTAATCAATGCTACTGATAAATACTAAGCACAAAAGCAGGCTGTTCTCAGTTGCGTGAGATTCATTTGGTCTATGCTTCAACAAGATAAGATTTCTATTTCTACAAATTTTACAAATCATGAAAACATTAAGGACCTCTCAAGACAGTGCTTCTCAATGCATGGTTCACGATTTTGTAGAAATGATTTACCAGACATGCATGATTTCGAAATTTTCAATGTTTTAACTACAAGAACAAAGCTAGGAGATAACAAATTTCCCCCCAAAAAAATATCTACGACTCTAGTAGCTTAAACTTTACCTTAGAATTTAACAAAGCAGTTAAGTGCCTTGCTGGTCGAATAGGTAAGGCGCTTGGCTCAAATTTGGTATGGTAACTCGAAGGTCGTCGGTTCGAATCCAGCCATTTCCATATTTGTTATTTTTCGAAAGTTTAGATACTTCGGCTGCTTAATGTAGGAGATCAAGCCATAATTGGGCATTTGAGCAACGTTGAATTAAGGAGCGGATCAGAAACTTGAAGTGTAACAGGAGAAATAGGAACAAGAGCAACAAGATTATCTTATAATGGAATATTGTCAGAACGGACCTGAAATGTATCACGTCACGCACCCAGAAGATTGAAACGAGAGCCTGAATTTAATCGAAACCTAGATTTGAAGATTGGAAGCTTGATTCAACATCAAAATTTTCGCGCGGTTTTTTTTTAAAATTTCAAAATAAGAAAGTCCGTTACTTTTTATTTTTTTAAACTAGCTGTTTTTTAAAGCATAAACATTTAAGGAATGCAATTTCATCATAGTGATTATCTTAATCATAAAAACTAGTAAGAATGTTCACCAAAAATTACAAATTACTCGAAAAATAATAATTCACAACGAATTTTTTTAAAAATAAGAACTTCGAAAATTCGATTTTCGAAAAATAAGAACCTCAAAAATTCGAAGTTCGAATAATAAGAACTTAAAAATTTCTATTTGCTAGCATTGTACTAGATGCAACAATCGGGTTATGTCAGAAAGATTTATGCAATTTTCCTTGACAGTTAATTGAAGATATTATTTGTATGCAAAGTGTAATGACAATAAAATTATAATTTTGACATTTACATACACAAAACAAATAAGCAAACGAACAAAAGAGAAGAAGTAAGCAACAAAAATTTGCTCAGAAACAATGCAGAGACTTTATAATTTCCGAAAAGAACAAGCCTTCTTATAAAAGAGCCGTGCGAGAGTTGAAATATGATGGGAGCGTTCAGTTATTGAATTTTTCTTTTTCCTTCGAGATGAGATTTACTTCCATGCCTGCAATCTCGTCTTGTATATCAAATTCGGATATAAATGCCATTTTTTTTCGCATAATTCATTTCCTCAATTTTTGTTTATTTTTTTTTTTGATCTCACACTGTGCAGACATAAATTTTAAGACTTGATGATGAAAATAATCTTGCATTTTTGAAAAATTAGATTTTAATCGCTTGTTTACAGTGAAGATGCTTATTTAGTCTCGTTAAGCTCATCAACACAATATTTTTTTTTTGTTATTCATAAGGCGCCAAACAGAAGCGATAATGCTTCACATCTACTTCAATTCTTATTAATTTAAATTCCACGAGATTGTTAATAATTCTTTACACATGCTTAGAGGAAAATATTGTTGTTCGATAAAAAAAAGGAATTAGGAATATTAATTGATAAACTCTAGTCTAAACAGTATTAATAGATGAGTTATTGTATGTAATCATCATGTCTAGCTGAGTTTATATTAAATTAGAATTTAGTGATGAGATTAATTCGTGTATTTTAATTTGATATGGAGATGGCTAGGGTTGGAGACTTGGATTGAATGATGAAGATGGTAAAATACTTAAAGTTGAACAGTTCATACGTCTGACACACTTACCATCGGTTTTCTAAAGAAAGAAGCTTTTAAAATCATTGACTTATCGAAAGGATGTCAACAAGAGCCAAGGCATGACACAAAAGCGGTTCAAAATCTCAGCCCACCATGCTTATCCTCTTGGATACTCTCACAAGCTACACAAAAAAATATGGCAGACTTAGTTCCACCCAAACTCAAAGTTCAACTTTAAAATTCCCACAAAAAAAAAATCCAAAATGTCAAATCATTCCCAAAATTTCCATAATCCTTCTAATTTAATCGCTTGCAACTTCTGAATCCGATTAACATTTCACCTAATTTGTCGACCTCACCCAAGCCATAAACATGCAATAAACAGATTCTGTCAAATATCACATCATATTTCATCTAAAATGCGAACAAACATGACAGGTTGCCATCAATTTATGCTAATAATCAGCTACAGATTTGACATAATTACATAACTTTCGGTGTAAAAATATGAATGATAAGATTTATAAATCCCGATGAGGTTTATTTGCATTGAAATTAAGGATTGTGGAGCCGTGTCACAGCCTTGAATAAAGGCAGAGATTGTAAGATGCTGTTTTCAAAGACTTTATTGCTGACAAATTGATGAGTGCTATAAAGTTACTTAATATATAACTCAAAAAATGTGCAATCAATTCACAGCTTTATGTCAGATGCCTTTTAATTAAATTTATTGTATAATTTACAAATGAATTTCAAAGTGATCAATTTATGTAAGTTTAATCGTCAAATTATCATCACATATTCACATTTATGTGAGTAAATTTTTCATGTCGAGTAATGTCGAGAAATTGTTCCCTGGAGAGATGCTTATTCTTCTTATCTCTTTTATTTTCTGCCTTAATGTGCTATGAAAGCTTTTTCTTTGCGAATGTTTAGGATTGATAGGCATTATGGGTTTGCTTAAAAGAACTTTAGAGAAAATGTAAGATTTGAATTTTACAAAACCGTTGAAATTTGAATATTACAAAACCGTTGAAATTTGAATATTACAAAATCGTTGAAATTTGAATTTTACAAAACCGTTGAAATTTGAATATTACAAAACCGTTGAATTTGAATTTTACAAAACTGTTAAAATTTGAATTTTACAAAATCGTTGAAATTTGAATATTACAAAACCGTTGAAATTTGAATATTACAAAATCGTTGTAATTTGAATTTTACAAAACCGTTGAAATTTGAATTTTACAAAACCGTTGAAATTTGAATTTTACAAAATCGTTGAAATTTGAATATTACAAAATCGTTGAAATTTGAATATTACAAAACCGTTAAAATTTGAATATTACAAAACCGTTGAAATTTGAATATTACAAAACTGTTGAAATTTTAATTTTACAAAATCGTTGAAATTTGAATATTACAAAACCGTTGAGTTTGAATTTTACAAAACTGTTAAAATTTGAATTTTACAAAATCGTTGAAATTTGAATTTTACAAAACCGTTGAAATTTGAATTTTACAAAATCGTTGAATTTTGAATTTTACAAAACGGTTAAATATAAATACACTAAAGAATATTAAATCAAAAAGACATTTATTGTGCTCAGATATGGTCGCAAACAATGGGAGTTGCTCAAGAAGAAGAGGAGAAAATTATGACAAAAAGTTAAATAGAAAGAAAAGCCTTCAAATGTGTATGAATGGCTGATGACAATGATGCATGATATTTTAATAATATTAATGTGCTTCAACACGATTACTTATTAGCTTCTTACTTTAAATGTCATGCTACTTTTTTATGTGACGCTGTTGATACTGTGTCGAGTTCATGATTGCCTAGTTAGTGATTTGTATGAATTAAGTTAAGTAGGGATTTATTATAAAATTAAGAGAAGAATTTAACTCCCTCCCCCATTTTAACATCACCACGTGTCACTAAACCTATAAATCCAGGAAGTAGCTTTTTGAATTCTTCATCCCAAGGGCATAGAAATCATGAAGCTAAATGACATAAGATGTAATATAATTATTCAAATTCTTCACGATGACTCAACAAGCATAATGCAGCACATAATTACATCAATAAATCGTGAATTAGAAATAAAATTCTTTCCCATATTTTACAGCATCTGCTTAATGTGAATATTAAAAATCAAAAAAAAAGTATTTCTTGTGTTGCTAAATGGAATGCAATTTGTTTCGTAAAATTATCCAATTTTACCTTTTATGCTGCATCTTGCTGCACTTATTACCACTTAAAAAAATTATTAAGCATCAATGCTTCTCTCTCCTCAATTAATCGAATCACGAATAATTTTTTTTTTGAATTACACGTACAATATGTGAGTGAAATGAATAGAAGCCAATATAACAGCATCATCTATTACATTCATATAACGTAATCAGAGATGAATCAAATAGAAATAGGTATGCTAGGCTGTTAGTATAGTACAAAGTAATTAAAAAGTTTCTGTATTTATGAAATAAACGTGATGTATGAATTAATTCTTTTCATTTCTTCGATTCAGGAGTGTAGGCAGAAGGGTATAGAGGAATTCTTTAAGCTTTTAGGGTTTTTTGAGGTTCCTAATAGTGCGTGGGGCTTGAGAGACTCAAAATGTCTTTGGGAATCAAAATAATATTTCATGAGAGGGGTTTAGATGATTCAAAGCAATAGGAAGGTTCAAATGGGTCAAGAATCTAAGCAGTTTATGTTGTAAAATAATCAGAGAGAGTCAAAGTGGTTCAAGATAGTCAGGGATAGCCGGAACCTAATTTTAACATATTTACCCTACCTCCCTTCCTCCTGGATACCTTCCTGCACCGTTTCAAAAACATTTCATATTGATGACGACAATAAGGAAGCAAAAAATTTGTCAAATGTGCAGCACGGCAGCAAAAACGTTATTTTTATTGTAACTCTTTCATCTCTCGTCATGTGATGAACTTCAAAAAAAAAAACGAAGACATTTCCCTTCTTTGTTTCATTAAACACACAACAGCAGTGCGATTCATTGCTTTTCCGCTTTTTAAACTTTCGTGTGTTAACAATAATAGACAGGCAAAAAAATTGCTTTGACATTCACTTTCATTTCATTCGTGAGACGTGCCATCAATAATGATGCTAACGTAATAAAAGTAAAAGAGAGAGAAATAAGAAATGTAAAGCAAGAAAGAAGTAAAGAAGTATTTTTTTAAGAGGAAGAAGAAATAAGTGAATTTTGTAGTCTTTAATTTGTATTGTCAGGGGATATTAGCAGGCATGTAGCCAGGGGCGAGTCTTTTTTTGAAAGAATTCCAAAATGACCCCCATTCTTAAAATGTTTATGGCTACTTATGCTTGCCCGATATCAAAGTCTCGGTCTCGAGAATTAGTCAAGACCGAGAAATCAAAAAAGCACATGGCTCATGCCACGAGTATTAGATAAGAAATGTTTGAATTCAGGGGTGTAGAAAGGGTTTTTGTTGTCCCCGGTCAATGAAAATTTAGCTATTCAAAAATAATTGATGCCTTTGTATGAAATTATTGACCATTTTTCCTAAGCACTAGAAGTCAATGTTGTCCCACTTCTTGCTACAACTACTCAAATTCAAATACTTCTTTAAGCAACCACTTTTTAAAAAAAAAATTAATTTCAAATAAGTTTGAACAGAAACAAATTTTTACTTCTAGGTTCGAAACCTAAATCTCCTGTAAAAAACATGTGCTTTTAACAGAATTTTTAATATATTTTTTTACCTCTTAAATTTTATTTTTAAATTTATTCTATTAATCTCCTTCCCTCGTTCTTACTTGGAAAAATTCCTCCTTAATCAATACAATAAGTTATAAAAACAATGTGCCAAAAAGACAAAACACCCCCTAAAATTTCAACATCCACACAAAAAGTGCACTCGAAAAAAAAATTCCAAGCAAAAAACGAAGAAGTGAAAAGTAAATAAAGAAAGAAGCTAAAACAAAATGTTTCTGATAAGAATATCAATTGCATCACTTTATTGTCGTCTCTTCTTTTGTTACCGAGTTGAATTTTATTTTTTTGTTTAACCTTTTTTTTTAAAGTAGCAAATTTTTCATATCACGTAACATCAGCCTATAAAAAAAAATTTGGTACCACACATAATCATAAATCAAAAAAATGAATATAATGTGTTTGTAGGAAGAAAAAAAAATAATGTGTCAAGCGTGCGTCCATCAGCAATAACTCAATTTCTATATAAATTATTTTTTCACATATATTTTAATTTTAAATTTAACAATTATATATTTGACATTAATTCATTATCTGCAAATTAATTTATAGGGACGTGATGCTACACCTTATCTGGAACGTAATCGTGTTGGACGGGATGCAATTGATTCAGCTGCCGCACTTACGGATATGGGAAAATATTTGTTCCGCGAGAGGAGACTTCCGGTTTATGATATTGCAGTCGCAATCACAAAGTAAGTTTATTCTTGTTCCATTATTAGATATATTCATCATTATAAGGTCTTGTTAACAACGATGTAATGATGAAAGGCAACGAGGAGCAGCAGCTCATCGAAATATGACGGCAAAAAAAAACTTTTCTTGTAAGACAGAACTGATGCGTGTCCTTTTCATTATCTTTCGTCATGTTTTTGGTTTACTTCAACAAGTTTTAAATTAAATTAATCACAATATGCCCTCCAGTGTCAAGCATGTACTTCTTCGCATTGAGAAAAGAAAATGTCCAACTTTAGCTGATGTACTTCAAGGAGAAAAGAAAGAAAATTGTTCGGCGTAATTGCAATAATAATCGGAAGTTTGTTCTTCTGTGTACCTAGCTCAATGTCGACTGCACACCGGATTTTTTTTATGTTTTTGACTTTTTTTCAGTAAAGGAGATTTATGCCTCGGTTTATTGAAATTTCTATAGATTCTTTTGTAAAATTTAATAAGATTTTAAGACTTTCAATGCTGTGGATATTTTTTTTTTGTGAATTCTTTGGATTGTCAAAAGTTTTGATGGGGATTGAATGATTTTTTAAAGTTCTTTGATGCAGAGCTGGTTGAAAGGTCTTCTGCTGATAGCAATTTTAGATTAATGTGGTCAAAATATTCTAGGTTCACTAGACCATCATAAAACCCTTAACTTCTGAGTTTTGCAACTTTCAACCAGAGTTGCGATCTGTCTCTCGCCTGTCATTACCTGCCAGGCGATAGATCTCTCAACTGCTTTCACTTGTTGCAAGGAAGTACTGATCCTAGCACTTAGCAAGAAGAGAAAGGTTTCTCAAACCTGGACAAGACGAATAATGTCCAAAAATCCTATCGTATTTAATTTCCAAGCCACAAGAACCCTTGTAAAGTAACTGGTCTTATCCTAGCGTGGTACTATTTAGGCCTGCAAAGCTCAAACGACTGATTCCTAGCTAATACATTAAATTAATAAATAAATATTTCATTGATTAAGACCAGAGCTTGAAGTCAACTCGAGATTTTCATTGATTTTGTACGGCAGAGTCAACTCTGAGTCGACTTGACTCCATACAAAATTGCATCGACTTCGAGCTCTGATTAAGACCAAAAACTAATCAATTAACATTGCAAATGAACAAAACACTGCAAATCTATTGAAATATCATTCAATATTCATCAACTTGACAGCTCAAACAGTTTCCTGTTGAGAATATAAATTTAATTTAATTATCTCTGATTTTTTTTTTTGGCATGAATAAATGAAATTGCAGGATATAAATTAAGGATTGTAAATTTTTTAAACTTTCTCCCCAACTAAATCTCGAGAAAGTTTCAAGCAAAGAAGAAAAAAATGCATAAAAAATTTAATTCCATTATTATGCAAAGCAAAGCTCACAAAATCTAATCCAACACTTTCCAATTCAATTGCAATCTCATTTATGCTATTAAAAAAATCAGTGGTAAATTGTCTGGATGTATAAAATAATTTTTTATTTCTCTTCCCTTTTTTTTCTTGCTCCTAAAACTACACAATTTGATATTAAAAATTCTCAACTGCAAACCTCACATTTTCTACTGAATTTTTGAACCTTATAACTATGCACATATGTGCCGGATTTTAACTATATATTTATTATTATTTTATAATTCACTACTTTCCTGTTGCAAAAACAAAAAAATATCTTTTTTTTCATTCTCAATGTTTATTTTCTGTATTTTTTATTTTGTGCTCTGTGTGGTAAACATTTTTTCTGGACTATGTGAAATGGTCATTTTACGTTATGTGATTACATAATGCAATTAAATTAAAATTGTTGCTGTGTGTATTACAAATATAGATACGATATGTGCCGGCGAAGGAAAGGAGGTCGATGCACTAAGGGCACTGCCGGTAAAGATATATGATAAATTATTTTAACTTACATTTTTAATTTTGATTATTGGTTATTTATAAGTTTGATAATTGGACTGAAAAAATTCACATTTTTATTTTTTTTTTTTGATTGCTTGATCCATAATTTATTATTGGAGGTACTTACCCAATTATTTACTTAATCTGACTTGAATTTGATTTTATATTGGTAGTGAATTAATTTGTTTGATTTTGTATGCAATTATTTATTTTATTTTGTAGAATTTCGTATTTGATTTTTGATGAATTTAACAAATTATTTTTTAAAATATTATTTTTCTGGCCATTTTACTAATCATTAAATTTTTATTAATCATTTAGATCTCATAAAAATGTTGATTTAATCATTTTTTCTACGATTGAGTTGAGATTTTGATTTGATAATTTTTTGGATTGTAGATTTGAGGTTTTTGATTAATGATGACCTTTAGGAAATTGAATTTTCTTAGGACCGCCTCCCTCCCTTGTGTTATAGCATCTCAGACTCGACTCTTTTACACGAAATTTTTCAAAACCAAATGCTATGAAGCATTCAGCTTCCTTTTGAAAGACTATAGAGATATTTTAAGTAAATTCAAATCCTCAACGGTCAAAACTAATCAAACCTACAATTTAAAAGATTTTTAACTTCCCAAATACTTCCAAAATGAATATAAAGATCAAAAGCTCAACTCTGAATTTAGGTTTATAAAAAAATTACAATTTCTTCACCCTGACAGCAGAATTAAAAGACATAACAATTTTTGACGCAGAAATTGATCATACTATGTTGAAATCTTTATTATTGTCGTTGTTATTTCACCGCATATTTTTTTATAAAATCCAACAATCTCCACTTTAATTTCATAGAAACAAAAAAAAACAAAAAAAAAAAGGGAATTTTATGTCGTATTGAAATGTCACGAGAGTAATTCTTTTGTTATTAACTACAAATTACAGATTAGACATGTGCAGGAGACAGTACGCTAATGATGCGTGCAATCGTGGAACAGCAGGTAATCATTGCAAAAACTTAAGCTTGAACTTTCAAGCAATTGAGACAATTTTTTTAAAAACTTTTAATTTCAAAATCAACCAACTTGCTTCACTTCTCATTCCTTATTGTTTATTTTTGTATCTCTCTGTCTCTCTTTATATGCATCATAGTTTCTTCTTTATGTAAAAAAAATATACACTCGAAAAAAAAACATTTTCATTGCTTTTTCTCACCACACCTCTACGTCTCTTTTTTTTTCTTCACTATCCTTCAATTCTCGCTGTGGATGTTAACCAAAAAAATATTCTACTCTGTACATCTCTCTCGCTAGTATGTTTTTTTGTTACGTTTCATCCTGAATTGAATTATTGTTTTTTCATTGAACTTGTTCTACACAAAAAAAATATTTTTTGTTCTGTTGCTCTTAACTATTTTTCACATGCAAATACTTCTTTTTTTTGTTATCCTGACTCGCGTGAACATGAAATAAAATACGGCAAAATATAAAAAAAAAAGTGTTGTTGTGTTCTGTAAATAATCCGGATATGGAAAATATTTCACATTCTCTCGACTATCATCCATATGCAAATACATTGTGTATACATGTCCTTAACTCTGTCAAATAATTCTATTTTTTTAAAATTCTCACAAAAAAAAATATTTATTTAAAATAAAAATAGAATGGCTGAAATTGATGACAAAAAATCTCCTCCATGTAATCTATTGCATACATAAAATTTTATTGCACGCATTTTCTTCCTATTTGATTTTATTTTCAATGATTTCCTTCTTTTTTCTGTGATTTTTAAGCTGATTATTGTGGATTAAAACTTTTGTAACCTTTTCAACCTGCAAAAATCATGAATTATTGAATGTTTCTGTGTTTGATAGGATTTAACTGGAATTGTGACTCTTATCAGACTGCAAGCTATGTTTACTAGCACAATAGACCATTATTGACAATGTACAGGACATATACAATTCTAAAAGAATTCTTTTTACATGACCATTGGATGTAAATTGGATTTTTTCCACAGGTTTAAATAGATTCTATAGAAGTAATAGCCATGACCTATTTCTGTAAAGTAATTCAATAGATTTAATTGAGTTTAGAGATTGTTGAATTTAGAACTGGAAATGAGAGAACAAAGAGAGAACGGAATTACAGAACCTGATGACAAAATACTCACAGATTGCAGGATAGACAATAATTACAATGAAACAAGAGCTTTACTATGAATATAGCCATACCAAGAGGTTGTGCTGATGGATATCACTGGGATCCTTTTGGACGGCAAAATTTTTATGATTTTTTTCATGTCCCTCAAAAATCTAAACCTCTTTCCATCCCCAAAAACTTCAACATCCATAAAATAAAGCAAATGTCCAATTATCCAATCCATTTATTTTATATCCTGATTTTATGAACCCAAAATTATTCTGGACTTTCCTAAAGTACTAGAAATTTATTGCAACCCTTTTGAAGGAATTTGACATCTTTTTATATTTTTGACCTTCTTTCCATCATTTTACCTACAAAAGGAAATACTTTGTTGTAATTATTGTTTATCCTACATCAAAAGACATAAACTACAGAACATATAGCTGAACATTGACATAATTTACTCTCCCGGAAAGCACACGACCTTAAAAATGACCGAAAATGTGGAACCAGAACGGCACGAATGCGAATTTCACCAAATTCAGTGTGGTTCAGCCTTCCTGGTGCCACATTTTCAGCCATTTTTAAGCCGTGTGCCTTTCGGGTCTATTTAAGCTACTTCCTTTATCCACTTCCCTCAAAAAAAAATGGAATATATTTTAAATGTATTTATTATTTCACTTTATTTCTTATGCCTTTATGAGTTCTTAGCTTTTCTTTTACTATCTTATTTTATATGGACTTGTTTTTATGTGAGCTTGGTTATTCAAAGGAGTTTCTGGACAAACATAGATGGACATTTATTAAGTAGATAAAAATGATGATGTTTGAGATTTTTAAGGAAGACAAGACTGGAAAATGTTGAATATGCTTTTTTATCTTCTTTCTGTTATGGTTTTATCGGATGATATGGAAGATTTGTTAATGAAGATGCATCCCTTGAGGCTGTAAAATTATTTAAATGTGTTTAAATCATAGATCGAAGCCGATTTTTTCGGCTTAACTCAATTTTTGATTTTTTTGATAGAAAAAAGCCATTTGACACCCGTTTCAAGTATTTAAATTGAACTTTACATGCTTTACTATGATTCTGTGTAATATTTTGTCAGCATGTAGCTAAAGTAAGCTCAGAATTTCAATTTAGTCGATGATAAGCCGATCGGCTTAACATTCTTTAACTTGAAATTCTGAGCTTCCTATAGCTACATGCTGACAAAATATTACACAGAATCATAGTAAAGCATGTAAAGTTCAATTTAAATACTTGAAATGGGTGTCAAATGGCTTTTTTCTATCAAAAAAATCAAAAATTGAGTTATGCCGAAAAAATCGGCTTCGATCTCTGGTTTAAATGAATTTATTGAGCTATTAAAAAATATGAAGTCATTCATTATTAACGTCCAATAATCAGGAAGGGTTGAAAATTTTATATTAACATTGCATTTTTAAAGACATGCAAAAAAGTCAAAAACTTCAATTTTTCGGAACTACAACCTCAAAATAAAGAAACAACCACAAACAAAAATATTTGTCGTGATTCAACAAATAATAAAACGTGTTTCCGGAAATCCATAACAAAAAGAACGGCAAAACTAAAACAAGAAGAAATAAAAGTATAATTAACATTCTCAGCCAGTCAACAAGCCATCATTAAAAGGACTTGACGAGACGTAAATCCTGACCTTCTATCTGACTTATGTTCTTTCGATAATATCTTTTTTTTGTGTGTTATTATGGTATTATACATTCTTTTATGTCCCACACCCCTACAAACTTATTCTCCCATCCTTTTCTTTCTTATGCTTCTTATAACTTTAATTAAAAGCACAGAAGAGGAAGAAAGCAAATATTTTATACAACCACTGATTTGTGTAGTGGTTTTTTTGTAAGTAAATCCTCAAACAGATTTTATTCTGGGCAGCTTTAGAGGTTTTTCCTTTTAACTTGTTTATAGATTCAAAGGGGTCGTTCGAAAATGATGTATGTTAATATTTCGGAATTTAGTTCTTGACTTAATAAAGCCTTAATTCTAATTGAAGCTTCGGAATTCGCTTAAAAATCATCAACATCATTTTCGAACGACCCCAAGACTTTTCTGTGTATAAATTTTTATTTTTCGAGTCTGACAAGGAGTTGTAAGTCTGTAATTACAGCACACACACAACTTCCATCTAATACCGACTCTTTGAAGTTAAAAAGGGGCTTTTAATTAAAACTAATCGTATTTTCTAAGTGGGATAATTAACATTTACAAACTTATTTTTATATGTATGTGTGTATATGTTATGGCATAGCTTATATGGTGATGGCTGGAAGCTTATTTTGATTAAATAATTGATGTTCATTGGTTTGAGTTTACAACTAACATTATCCTTGTAATATTACAATTGTGGCTGGGGTCAGTGCCATTACAAGGAGCTCGAATGAAAGCCATATTTGATGGTGCATTAAATTGTGAAATTGGATAATGCCATCAAAATCCGTTCCTTCGAGCACTTCATTTTCCTCACTTATTTCCTTAACACAAAAAAATTTATTTCTCATTTAACACAATACCCGGAAGTATTTTTTGACCACACAAATCTAATTCTTGTTTTATTCTCCCATTTTTACAGGGTGAGTTTATTCATCATTGTGACTTGTTGTAGGCACAATATAAATATAATTTAAAATCTATGTTCGATATTAGATTTGCTTATGTAGCTGGTGCATGCGTTGTCAACAAGCGTCTCGAGAAAGTCAACAGTGTTGCCATCATTGAAGATACTGGTGGATTCAGTGGAATTATTGTTGCTGCTCACGAAATTGGTCATTTGTAAGTTGGTTCTTTGAGATTTTTCAAAAAGTTGAGGTATTATGTGACGCTTAAGAGAGTTTGTAATTTTTTGGATTTGTCTACAGTCATCACAATCCTTATAGAACTTATTCTCATCCCTAGCTTTCTCTGTTACACTTTCTATAGAGCAAAAGCTTACATTAATTCCCATATCACCTAAAATAAATTCTTTATCTCAACTTCTAACCCTCAATAATAAATAAATTCCTTAATTAAAGTAAAACCTTCAATCGCTTCCCAATTCATCATCAAATATTAATCAAAAAACTATATTAATTGCTATTTTAATAATTCAAGACTTGGCGCTGTTCACGATGGATCACCACCACCAAGTTATTTGGGTGGACCGGGAGCTGAAAAATGTAGATGGGAAGATGGATACATCATGTCAGATTTAAGACACACAGAAAGGGGATTTAGATGGTCAGCATGTAGTGTACAAAGTTTCCATCATTTCCTCAAGTAAGAACAAAATGCAATAAACATCAAAAAAAAGTTTTTTAATTAAAATTGAAAGAGCAACAAGACAATTTTTTTTAATCATGTTGTTTGCTATTATAGTGGAGATACAGCAAGTTGTTTACATAATGCTCCACATGAAGATGAAGCTCTAGGACGACAACTTCCAGGAACTCTCCTCTCACTCGATGCACAATGTAGGCGAGACCGTGGAACATCAGCATGCTTCAAAGACGAACGTGTGTGTGCACAATTATTCTGTTTTGATGCATCCAGTGGCTACTGTGTGGCATACCGACCTGCTGCTGAGGGATCAACATGTGGTGATGGACAGGTGAATTATCTGTAATGGATTTTAAATTTAATTAATTTTAATCAAATTATGATGATAAATTGCAGCATTGTCTGGATGGCAAATGTGTAGCAGAGAACGAGAATATAATTCCGGATTATTCACAGCACACGGCATCATATATCAGTCCAAATTCATTTAATTCACAGTTCCAGTGAGTACAAACTTTTAATTTTAAATTGGAATGACTTAATTTATTTATGGATTTTAATTCGTTAAAATTAAATTTCAAACTGATGTCCATGAGAATTGCTATTGCTGATCCATTCCCCCCTCTGTACATACATTTTATATATCCTTTTTGCAGTTTGAAATTTTTTTTTTGTGTTCATTGTTTTTGTACCTAAAATTTATTTTTTTATGTTCGTTCAAAATGAAAAAAAGAATTTAAATCAATTGGGCTACTTGTAATTCCACATTTTGTTCATGTTTAACAATTATAAGAAAGAAAAAAATATTTCCTTATTTTTGTACATTTTTTGAGCTTCCCCATTGTTACCATTTCAACATTCCCGTTCCTATAATTTCCTCTCTATATCATTTTATTTTTTTATGTTTAATTTTTTTTTATATAACGCACACCATCAATTGGCATTTGAAAGAGAAATCTTAAAATATATACGAATAAAAATGAAAAATTAAACAGCTGCCACAACATTGAATGCTTTGTGTTTTTGATGGTGGGAGTGGGGGTGTCTAAAATTTCATAGTCTAGTTCATTGAAGTTTTTGTTCTTGAATTATTAAATTTGTATAAAGTTGATTTTTAAAATAAATGTTTAAAGTTGAGGATTATTTGACTTTGCTGGAAGAGAATCGTTCATTCTGAACAATTAATTAATTGATATAATGTGAAACTTATTAGTGTATGGTTCAGGGGAATAATTGGGGTAAGATCCTCCTCAGTTATAAAAAGTGCCTGGATAACCTTTTGTGTCACTTAAAGTTTTAAAAGGTTTAATCAATCCAAAAATTCATCAATGAACTGTAGAACATACTGTTTATCAGCCAACATTGTTTTTATGCACATAAAAACAATAAACCATCCCATAATTGAACCCCCTAGCATATTTGACATCTCAAAAAAAAAAAATAAATCAGCTGTGGATGTTGTGGCATGCTAATGAGATTTGTGTTTATGTAAAACTAACATTTTAATTTAAAATTATACCGAAAAAAGAGATCAAAAAATTTCCCATCCAATCCCTCACCAAAAATTCCAACCCACCGCTTTGCAAACCCCCCCAAAAAAAAATTCATCCTTCCTACAAAATTTTATTCTATTCCTAAATTCATTCTACCTAACTAGAAATGATTTGCGGAAAGCATTAAATGAGAATGATGAAAGTTCAGCGTCGACAAGCAGCATAGATACAACAAAAAGTTATGCTCCAACAACTACTAGCACTACTCCCAGCACAACCACAAGCACAACTGAATCTACAACAAAAAGCACAACAACAACAACTACCACAATTCAACGAAGTACAACGACGGCGTTAGTGACGACAAAGAGATATCCATTATGGAAGAATTCAGATGATGTTCCGAAAACACCGAAAACCTATTTCAGTAATTCATTTTATCAGAATAATAATAATAAAAATCAAAATAATATCAATGGACCGACCTACGATACGAAAAGTCCTTTTAATAAAATAGTGACAAAGAGACCGTCGTCTGATAATGATAATGACAGTGATATATCATCGGCGACAAAGCCAGCAACATCTCCCACAATAAATCCATTTTATTATGGTTTTAATCGTTTGCCAAGATACAGCACAACGTCACGATATAATACACAACAATATAACACTAAATTATCGACGACAACAATTACAACACAATCACCACCCAGCACCATAAAACCTTCCACAATTAATAATAAAAATATCCGTACTCCTTATCAAAACCACCATTATTATTTCACATCCACAAAGAAACCCGATTTGCTGGCACATTCACCGACTTATGCGACAAACTATGAAGTTGATAATAATTATCATGAGAATAATAATAATGATGATATTGTTGAGACTGTAAAGCCTAAATCATCGACATATAATCCTGTATTTGATATTTATTTCAAGCAAATTGCTCGACAGAGGACGGCAGTGCCGAAAATATGATAAACTTAGCTCCTTAAATACTTCATTTAATTTAATTATAAAATCATTTTTAATCACCCCCTTCAAAATGACTCTCTAGCATATGATTCTCATAAGATGTGAACCAAAAATTTGAATTGATTATTTTTTTTCTGAGAAAAAAAAAGTTTGTCCTACTCACGTGGTAAGAACAATAAGAATTCTTTCAAATCTTCTTCTTTCTTCAACAAATTTTGTCGGCTTTTTCTTCTACTCAGTGTTGTTTCCTGGCTGTTTGTCTGGTTCGGATAGAATCTGATTTAGACATGTCTGTGACGTAGATTGATGTGATCAAAGACTTAATTGCTAGACATCTAGTCATGTCGAGTTGAAATCTACCAGGATAACACAATTCGGATTCCTGGCTTAGGATTTCGTCTTGATTATCCGACTTCTGCTAGTTGTAGATCCGAAGTCTTGATCAGATCCTATTTATTATCGCAACCTTATCTTAACATCAAGGTTTACAACACTGCATCTACTTCTATTTCTTCTAGCCAAAATAATCATCATCATGAAAACAATAAAATCATTGAAAAATGACTGAAAATATATAAAAAAAAGCTATGCTGAATTTACCTCAACATGCGAATTTTTCACCTTCCTTCCACACAAACTTCACCTCTATTTTTCTTCTACTTCTACTTCCTACCTTCCCTTCTTATATGCAAAAGCTATTATGTGCACGAACGGAATATATGACTTAATATATGTTTTATTATGCATTTTCCTAAAGCAATATATCAAAAATCTACATATCAACTTCTTAGTAATTTACTGTGACTATCAAAACAAACACAAAACTTTAGAATTTTATTTTACACAACTTTCGTACTTACTAACTTTACTGTATTACTTAATTGTTTATTTTTACTATGTTGGGAAATATTGAGGGTGGTATGAAGATATGAAGAATGTTAAAGATATAATTGGAAGCATTTTTTAAAAGTTTATTAAGTATTAATGACTTATATAAGCGAACCTAGTAGGTTCTCATGATTGTTTTACTAGAAAAAAAATATAATTTTAAATAAAGGATTCAAGTTGGGATTCGAACTCTAGTCTTATGATTCTAGTCACAAAGTATTATCGTTTAGCTAGTATGACTTATTTGTTGTGATTACCTTTTTCGCTTTATGTCAAATATAAATAAAACCATGATTAAGAGGGCCTTTAATGACCAGCTGACTCTAAAATTGAAGTCAAAAATATTATTAAATGAAATGCAACTTTAAGTTCCAATTATATTAAATAAGCAGTCATATTTTCATCACCCAGGATACTTACTTACTTTAACTGTTTTTTTTTATGTTAAATTAACAAGGAAAAATATTTGTGCAACTAACAGAAAGCAATTTTTATGAGTTCCTTAATTTATTAACTTTTTGAGAATTTTGTAGCAATTATTTTAATCATCATCATCATTAATAACTTTGACTATTTTATGTTTATGCTTTTTACTTCTTTATGGAGCAGCTCTTGATGCATTGATATTGACATTCATTAAAAACTTTAGTTTTTCAGTGCCTCAAGAGTTTTATTCATTTTTCTTTATTTACTTTTTTATTTTTTAAAAGTAGAAAATTTTAAAAGCGAGTGAAGTTTTTATTTCCAATTTTTAATTTTAATTTTTTTAAATATATTGAAATTTTCAATCTTTGCCAAATTTTCATTTTTAGATTTTCAAAACCTTTTATTCTATTTAAAAGCAAATTTCAAAATTTTGCAATCATTTAAATTTTCAAGTTCTTAAACTTTTTAAAATCAAAAAAAAAATTCACTCCTTTTTTAAATAAAACTTAATTCATCTTCATTATGAAAACTTTCATTCAATCATTTAAATTAAACTTTTAATTCAACTTTTCTCGATTTTCATTACAGTGGAAAGAAAAAATAGGAAGAAACTTAAAAGCTTGCCATCGATAACAAACTGAAGTGATTTGAGGAAAAAGAAATATTTTTTAATTAATGAGACAAAATCCTTTCATATCTGATCTTATTTTTAAAAAATAAAACAAATCTATCAATAAGTAGATTATTCTGTATGAAATGTCGGATATAATGGATATAAAAAAAATTATAATTAAAGTTTACCTTGCAAAATTAAAAGTTGGAATTTAAAGAGTTTTAAAATTTATCAATAGTATTTAAATGTCGTTTTTGAAGACATTGAAGATTGACAAAAAATTTCGCAAATAAAACTTAAAAATGAAATATTCAAAATTAAATTTTAAAAATCCAATTTCAAAATGTAAATTTTTTATTTATTAAGTTTTGAAATTATATTTTTAAATTTTCAATTTTGACATTTAATTTTAAAATTTTTAAAACTTGCGCAATTTAAATTTTGGAATTTTGTATTTAATTTTTAATTTAAAGCAACAAAATTCCATTTTTGCTTTCATAAACTTGTTTTTTTTTTCAAAAATTGTTATTTTTAAAATTAAACGATTGAAGATTGTTTTAAATCAAAATTTGAGCTTTAACAGTTTTTGTTCAAAACTGAATTTTTTAAAAAATAAAAAAAAATCAAAAGACAGACTTACAATTTTTTAAATAACAAGATCAATTTTGAATCTAGATTCTCCTAAAAAGTTTAAAACTGAAGCTTTTTTGTTCCAATTATCGAAAAATTGAATTCAATTTTTAAAAAATCTAAATTGTTTGATAAATTCAACAAATAAATCCACTTTAAATTCAAATATTTTTCACTTTAAAAGCGCACATTTTTTAAATTCAATGCATAAAAGTGAGCTAGTTTGTAAATTATAGTGCAAAAAAAACTATTTTAAATCTTTAATGAGCAAGGTACAATGAAAAAAATTTGAAAATTTCGTCCTAAGTGATCAAAAGTTGTTCATACTTTTGAGCAACTGAAAAGCAATTTTTGTAAACATTTTTAAAAAAAACAAGATAAACAAATTCAATCTGTGAAAAAAAATTCATTATTAAAATCTTTGTGTACATGAATTTCGCTTTAGCTTTACATAAAAAAATTCAAAAATTTATACATTTTACTGCCCAATACAACAAGACATATAAAAAGAAGAAGAACAAAAAAAAAGATTTAAAAAATATTTTATTGAAAAAGTTTTCCTTTGAGCTTTTTGTGGCTTAACGTGAGTTCTACTGTAATTTTTTTTTGAACGTGTATATGAAAAAAAAAATAGATGTGAAAAATGCAAAAAGAATCGCTATGATTTTCGTGTATATGTAAACTTTGCTAGTGATAAGACTTAATGATAGATTTAGATTAGTTAGTCTTAAGGTTGTGAAGTTTTTTTTCTTCTTCTTACTTTTCCTTAATTTTTTTCGCTCAATTTTAACGCGTTTTTCTAATTTTTAAAAAACTTTTTTTGTTTATTTTGCTTTGTTTGAAGAAAAATTTTCATTTTTGCGAAAATTTCATTTTCTTTTGTAAATTAATTTAGCGAATTTAAATGAACTTTTACCACAGCTATCGATGCTGAAATCCGAAATAAACAAGCGAAAAATTAAAATAAGAAACTTTTGTAAATTTTGTTGGATACTTTTGCAATAAAAAAAGAAAAACGAAAGAAATAAGATGAAACTAAATGTTTTTCAACTCTTTTCAGCTTCTATTTTTCAGGATAATTGTTATAACGCTTGAGTTTTTCTCATAAAACTTTTAATAAATCCATTTTTTAAGTTTCTTCAAGTTTTTCAGAGCATATGATTTTTCAGTGACATGAAGAAGTTAAGATATTGATTGAAAGGAACAAAAGAAGCATCAAGTCAAGTTTTACATTGTAATGTCAAGCAAAAGAAGTCAAGTTGCAAGTGAACTTGTTTAAAAAACCATTTGAGTCAAGTTTACGCTTAGTAAAGTCACTTGACTTAATTTTAAATAATTTGTGTTCGGTAATTTTGCAACAATATTAGAGATTAAAATGTATTGAAACAAAGCTGAAAAAATGTAAAAAAAAAAACATTTAAAAAATTTCTAATGCTTAATTTTTAATTTTTATTCATTTAAAAAATTCATTTTATACAAGCTCTGGCTAACAATATTATTCTCATTAAAAAAGCAACAGCTTTAAATTTTCACTATTTTCTATAACATTAAAGATCTAATAAAAATATGAAATTATCGACCCTAAAGTTGCCACTTGAATTAATTAAATTTACAACTTTCGATAGAAATTTATTAAAAAAGAGTTTTTTACAAATTAATCATTTTAAAATGTTTGGAAAGTATTCTAAAAATAAATCTATTAAAACCTAATAATAAACTAGAGAATTTTTGTCATTAACAAAATAATGGACGCAAAAATAAGTAAAAGTAAAGAAAAGCATTTTTTTTGCATATCTGATACGCAAATTCATCTACGCTTTAAGGACGATTAAACTGAATAGAATGCTCAACAAATGTTTTTTTTTTGATTATATTTCATGTTTTTGAATAAATTTAGAAAGAGAGTAAGAATTTCTATTTTGCACATTAATTTTTTCATTATTTTAAAGATCATCATATGAACACAATAATGAGAATAACTTTAATGGATTCTTATTTTTTCGATGTTTTTTTCTTAATGAATTTTCATTTTAAAAGTCAGTAATTTATGGTATATTGAACATATTGAAACATATAATGATGGCAGACTTAATAAATCCAATTAACTGGAACCCATTGGTGCTCATGACTCAGCAACTCTAATGCATCAAGCACTTGACGGAAGGTTTGATCAAAATCTTCATTTACGATGACCATGTCGAAGTATTTTTCGTATTTTCGCTGAAGCATCATTGATTCTTCAACTTGATTGACCAATTCGTCGTCCTAAAATGGTGAGAAAAGGGAAAATTTTATGAAATTGCTATTGCTTTTAGGTTGTAGGTCGTTATGTATAAAATGCAAGATTTGAACCAGTTTAATAAGTTATGAGCCAGTTCAATAAGTTTTGAACCAGTTCAATAACTTTTGAATCAGTTCAATAAGTTTTGAACCAGTTCAATAAGTTTTGTACCAGTTCAATAAGTTTTGAACCAGTTCAATAAGTTTTGAAACAGTTCAATAAGTTTTGAACCAGTTCAATAAGTTTTGTACCAGTTCAATAAGTTTTGAACCAGTTCAATAAGTTTTGAAACAGTTCAATAAGTTTTGAATCAGTTCAATAAGTTTTGAATCAGTTCCATAAGTTTTGAACTAGTTTAATAAGTTTTGAATCAGTTCAATAAGTTTTGAAACAGTTCAATAAGTTTTGAATCAGTTCAATAAGTTTTGAATCAGTTCCATAAGTTTTGAGCGATTTTAATAACTCCTTAGGCTAAAAGGATAAGATTAGCTTAAATAATTTTAATAAATTTTTGAAAAAGAGAAATATTTCATTAAACTTCGAAAACAAAACAACAAAAAAATTATTGTAGTTCTTTTTATCACAAATTAAAATCAACAAAAATTATACTTACTTCATACAGCGATGCAAGCGACTCCAATGTACGAGCACGTCGTGAACTGTACCTAATCGAGCTTTGACGATCAAACTGTAAGCAATTCAACACAAAAATGTTACGAAATTACACACAAACATTTAATCAAGCATTAGATTAAATTAGCAACAGAAAAAAAATATTTTAAAGCATTTTTCACACTTTGAGTTGCATTAACGACAGTACTGGCTGTCTAATTAATAATATTCACACAATTTGTGATTTTTTTGGATGCAACTTACCGCGAGATTCCTCTGAGATCCACCAGCTGCTCTTCGTTCTGCGTAAAGTTGCTTCAATTGCTCCATACCTGGAGCTGCGATGAAAATAACAAATGGCATGAATTCAGGACTGTTGTGAAGGAGCTTTAAGGCTGAAGGTGCACAATCAAGGACGCACATTTTTCCTACAAAATTAAAATTTAAAATGTATGAGCTTAAGGTCGATTTTGAAAGGATGCATGAGAATACTAACCTTCCTTAATGACCATACGAATTGATTCCAGATGTGTTCCATACAAATTTCCATTGTGCTCTCCACATTCCAAAAAGTTGTTGAGATTGACTTCCTCCTCGAAATCTTCACGATCAATGAACCAATATCCTTTTCCACTTTCTTCAAGTGCACGTGGTGGTCGACTTGTGTCTAAAAGTATAAACATTTGATTGAAAAAAATCACAATTCAAAATCAATCAGCATCTTACGTGGCATCACTCCACCAAAACGTTTAATGTCACTATTGACTAAACGATTCTTTAATGTTCGTCGTCCCACACCCTGAGTACCAATCAATACGAGAGTTTTTCTCTTAAATGGCGGCATTCTTGTGACTTCTTCGTACAATGTCATGTCTGCCTTATCAAAGTCACAATTTGATTTTGATTTGTAGAAAGTCTTAATTTTCTTCTTCGATATTCTCGTGCCACAAATGCCGACTTTATGAACGAAATCAGCTTCGGGTGGCACAAATGATTTGCGTCGCTCTTCAAGCTCTTGTGATGGCACTAAACCAATTGGACCTTCAGTTCCTGCATGCTTTGCTTGCCACCAATTTGGATCTTTGATGTTAATAATTTGAAGAATGTCACCGCTTGAGAATGAAAGGCCGATTTCCTTACATGGCAATAGTTCATCGTTCGATGGGTCATAGTCGAAAAGTGCTCTCATGTATCTCTAGAAAATTAAATATAAATCATTAGTGCTTTTCATATACTTATAGTCATAATTGAAATGTATGAAGTAATAATTCCGTGACTTATAATTTAAATTTTTAGGAAAGGTCATGGAATTATAGAGATAAAGTACATGTTGTGCCGTTGACTGTTTTTTTTTTGGATATAACTACAATTTTGTTTTGTTCTCTCCAAATTTAATTAATTTAACATACCGTGTGATACAGACAATTTTTCATTATTTAAATTGTGCATTAATACTTTTTTAAGGTTCTCATTCATTAGATTGTGATCCGACCTAACATACTATTGCTAATAAGAAAGATAGGCTTAGAATAATTTGAAAGCATAAATGTTTTTTTTAAAAGAATAAAATAGCTAGTTCTCTAAAAGAGTTCACTTCTATCCCACGTAACCAAAGTATTCCACACATTTTCCATTGACATAGATGGAATATTTATGTCCTTTCCCCAAAACAGTACATAATGTATCATTTATGTATTACATACATGAAATATCCATGTATAGTCCATGAGTAATACATCTATGTAGCACTTTAAAAATTTTGCCATTCAGACAATTAAGAACAATTTTTGCTGCATTTTATTTTTTTAAGTTATTTGTTTACATTGTGAAAAATGTGTTTTTAAAAATTGTTGTGAAGTGAAAATTTAATTTAAAAGTACAATATAGATGCGTAAATAATTAAAAGGAGCAAGAAATATTGTTTGGTGAGTAATTATAGGGAATATAGTAGAACATCGATTATTAAGGTAAGAAAAAAATATTAATATTTAAAATGTAAAGTGTCAACGATGTTTTAAACATCTAATATTTTAATCATCTTTCTTTTCTTCTTTTCTGTCTATTTTAAGGTATAATTCAGTAAAAATTTACAATTTTTCAGGAAATTAATAATATTTTGAGTTAAAGTGATAAGTTTTTTCTAAGTGTAAATTGTCCTTTTTGATTTCTATGAGTTTAAAATTATATTAATTTTTAATAAATTAAAAGTTTAACATAAATAAGTTAAACTTTAAGCATTAATATGTGCATTAATTAATAAAAATCGAGCATTTTTTATTTCAGGCGTTTTAATCCATTTATAATCCACAAAATAGTACAAATGTATTATATCAATGCACTATACATGTGTAGTACACAAAATCGTACAAATGTATTACATCAATGCACTATACATGTATTGTACACAAAATCGTCCATGAAATCATCCATCTCCATAGGACAATATCGTTCCATGTATTATCCATGGATGATACGCATGGACTATACATGGAATAAAATCGCGTAATACATGTATCGTCCATCTATGGGATTTTGGTTACGTGGGATTAAATTGCATCTTTTTAGTCACCAAAATTCGAATTAAGGCACCAAAAAAGCAATTCAGATACAGTGTCTCTCTTGAGATTTTAAAGAGTATAAAGCATAGAAAGAATCGAAACATAGAAAGACAAAGTAATTAATCTAGTTCCAAAAAAATATTTAAACTTAGTTTTAAAGCTATCAAAATGCTCTTATCAAAAATCTACAGCATAAAGTCTAAAAAAATGCACCAAAAATTAGATTAAATATTCAAAATTATAAAAAAAAAATTCAAAAAAATCTCAAAAATCCAAAAATCAAGTCACAAAACAAAAATCAACGCAGCATAAAGTGCCGAAAACAAATTCAAAAAAAAAATCTAAAAACAAAAATAAGCAAACTTACCGCCAATTTTTTGCCAGCTTCTTGTGTCTTATTCTTTACCTGTGCACTACCGGCTACCGTCAATCGTGCTGATTTCATCTCCTCATCAATATTGGGTCCAATTTTCAATGTCACAGACTCTTTTGCTCTTGAAATTTCTGTCTGCAACTCTTCAGGTGAATGAACTGCAATGCCATTAACTGCTAATATTACATCGCCGGCATTTAATAAACCTTGTCGATCGATTGTTCCACCGGAAATAATTCTTGCTACTTTTAATTGATTGAATTCGTCTAATTCGACTGTTAAGCCTAATGGCTCGTTGGGCTTCTTTCGGATACCAACCATTTTTATTGTTTCACCAACAGGCATTGTACTTCCGTTTGTATCGTCTTCAGCGTGCTTTGAAGTTGATCCTTTACCTGCTTCGGGATTCTTTAGTTTTCTATAGACTATATCACCCGCTAGGTCGTGTGAGTAAAGTAATGACTACAATGGAGATGAGATTATATGAATTGATAAAATTCTAATTCCATTATTAAGCAACATACCTTAAAATGTGGACTCCTTAATATTCTAAAAAGCTCTCTCGCTTGTGGATTCCTGGCAACACTATATTTCTCCTCTAACTCCCTAATAAGCCTTATATTTCCTAATCTAACAGGCTTCGATGGCTCTGGTTGATTCTCTAATTTATCTTGAATCTACAAAAGAAAAGCAAATGTTAATGAAATGAAAATCAACACGCGAATGAACGTCAGACTCATTCATTCATGAATCATCAGTCAATTTGTATCACTGTGTAATTTCCATAAATTTACGGTCGAGTGGAAAAATGTCTGTGAATCGTCAACCACACACACTTGAGACAAAAATTTAATTTGCATTCATTAAGTGAATGAAAAATTGAATTATTTTTTCTTAAGTCAACGTCCATGTGGAATTAAGTTGGTGAAATGTATAGCGAATATTATTTTAATTTATAGCTTTTAGCAGAGTTGGGTACTTAGTCGACCATAATTACTGATGAGAGATGGTATTTTAGCATACTGGAAGGAACAGGGACAATTCGTTCAAGATTACTAAGCTCTTAGTCCCCCAACTTGATCCTCATCTTTAGCTAGAGTCTTTTGTAAGTTTCATATAGTCAAGGATCCCCGAAATTGTCTTAAATTACTTGCTAGACTTCCGCTATATCCTATCTTGATCCACTTCTAATGCTAATCCACCACAGATACCTAAATCTACCTCAACAATCCCCAAAAGAATAAAATCAACAACCCTGACCAAATCTTAACCCATACATCTCACATTTTTTAATTTCGTACATTTATTTATGTAGTTCGCGACACACATAAAGCTATTAACATTAATTAAGTTAAAAGCGAAACATGAAACTCATGTTTGTTCATCACAAATTGGATCAGAATTGTCAGAGGTCAAGGTGGTGGCATTTGAGGCAAAAGAAGATGATTTTAATTGGCGATTCCAAAACACTTGATTGAGCGAGATTGTTGGATGGTGCAAGTGACAATGGAACAAAAGTTTCGATTTGTATTCTAGATTTTTTTTTTGTAAATAAATAAAAATACACTTCATCAGAATTAGGTCGCGATTGACACAATTCTTCTATATTCACAATTTACGGGCGATCGTATCGACTGCATTAGATCGTTATTTCTGGAATTTAGAATTTTTTTATATTTATATGGAGTTTCCATGGAATTGCTTTGCTTTTGTAATTTATTATGCATTCGCATGCAAATGTTGACGTCATCAAGGTTTTATACGTTGTTATTTTGTAAACAAAGGGCTGAAGTTTCTATTCTGTGATGACTCATTCTGTGTTTATTGATATAAATCAGCTTCGATGGTGGAATTTTATATGTTTTGGATTGAAACATTCATTAGCTTGGTAGAAGAATTGAGGTTTTGCAAGTCGATAAGCTTTTTGTCAGCAATTTATAAGAATCAAGTTAACAGGCTGTTCAGTTATCTAATACTTTACTTTTTAGCTTCTAAAGTCACAAATTGACACATGAATAGCAATTTTTTTTGAGAATTTGCAAACAATTTGTGCATAAGCACGCCCCAAATTACATCCAAATTGAAATACACTTCTTCAACCACCGATGCAGCCAGACAAAACAATTAAAACAGACTGAAGTTACATTCAAGAAAGAGTGACGTAGAATTTGCATTTAAATATTGCGTAGTCGTGCATAATAAACTCATTTCCTGTCCATATTTATGCATCCGAATAATTTTGCAATAACCATAATAATGACTGAATTATTTCACATTTCTGAAGGAACTAGCAACCATAGCTTCAATTTTAGGTGCCTGAAGATTTAGATTTGCTAACTTAAAGAAGCAACACTCACTGAATTAATGAATAAATAAATAAATCATTATCCATAATTAAATGGAAACACCAAATTGAATCCTTAGAATGGGCATCAAATAAAATATTAATGATACCACGTGTAATGCATTATTTATAGACAAACACCATTCCCTAATAAAAATGTCAATATCTAGAACGAAATCATCATTAATGGCTGCTATATGCTACCTTCCTTCTGGACTGTACTTGTTAAAGACTCCCTATTGATCAATTCTCATAAAATATTAACAAAAAAGCTGTCAAAATTACTTTTTTGGGGTGCGAACTTTTGGAGTAAGTGTGTCAATCTGTGCTGCATGTGTATATTCACGATTTGTTTACACTCCCGACTCTCGGTTGGATATGAATTTCAACATTTAGAGGTTGAATTTTATTCACAATTAATGGTAATCAAACCATTCACAACTTTTCTAGAATCTTTCTTAATATTTTATAACAACAAAAAAATAGACGTCATTTGTAAAGAACCCCTGAATGTATTTTACTCATTTCAATAACATTCTTTTAAGCTACAAACATTTGTTTTGAAGATATGAAAACATTTTGTTTGATTAAGTTTGTTTATTTATTTCTGTATGCTAAGATACCCGAAAAAAAAAAAACTTTAAGCACGTCATTAATTACTTCTCATTCATGAAATATCATTTGATCACGATAGAATTTTGTTCATCTAACAATGTGTCAACTTTCAGCTATGTAGATGTTCGGAAATAAATTAGTCAACAATAGAAAAGTTTTGACAGCCTTTCTGATAATGACTTCCCGCAAGTTTTGTGATTAACGATGCGGTTTTTGAATGGAAAGTTCGCTAATGGAATAAATTTGGTTTTTTGACTTTTGATATTGTTTGAATGATTTTGCCTGCAGTGCTAATATTAATCATTAATGAGTCGTTCACAAATGCTAAAAATCAAAATATGAGATTTAGTCTATGTCAGTCTACTTTATAGGTTAGGAATTATTTTCAATTCTGTCAAATCCAAGCAAAATCATTCCATTCTCCAACAATTGATGATTCAGACAAATCATTTTGTTTCCAAGAATTATTGCCAGCATTCAAGCCTTATTTACATATTCATCAAATTACATTAGCACCGCATATTTCATCACATTACAATCATCGAGTTCTTTTGTTCCTTTCATCCTATACAGCATCAATTCTCTTTTAGATAAGAATCTGTTAAATAAACTCTAATAATGAGCATATGCTTCCATTACTTCTATTTTAAATGCACACTGGTTATGTAATTTAGTATCTAGCATCCGTAGAATAGAATGTAATGTAGGGTTTTGCTAATAGCAAAAGCGGCACTGCGATCGATGATCTGTTGTACCATCCCAAGTCCCCTATGTTAGAATTCCGATGTCCTTAATGAAGCCAATAATGTCCTGATAATGCTGCTTATTTATAGCATCCGTAAGAACATACGGCCTGTTTCACTAAAGTGGATTATCCTCGATTTCGGATTTTATAATAGAGTGAAGTATGCCTGAAATTTCTGTATACTTTAAACTTTTACTTTTCGTTAAGAAGTATTCATTATTCAATTTTCTAGCCAAATCTAGTAGATTATCTTGGACCTTTGCTATAATTCTCAAACTAGTGAAGATATAAAAATTCTAAGTTTATGTTAATTTAAGTAGCAAAATACTCTAACTAGATCACACATAAGATCTCTTAATAACCTTAAGCGTCTGGAGATATTTCCAAAAAACTGAAGTGGATAATCTTAAATCGAGGATAATCCACTTTAGTGAAACAGGCCGATAAAGATCCACATGAGCATAATAAAAATCAAATAAATGCTGTAACTTCCTCTAAAATTATTCTTATTCCAAGTTTCACTGCACGAAAGCCTCAAATTGCATCTCATTATCGTTTTTAATGCCTCTCATCATTATTCGAAATGATAATGACTTTTTAAAAACAGATTCACTTTCATCCCTTTCCTCTTTCTCTTTAAAATCTTCATTCAATTCCGCCTCCATTCATGGATCCTTAACTCTATTAATAAACTTCCCATTTATCACTTTTACGGATCAATGAATGAATAAAAATGAATGAAATGAACATAAAAGGGCAATTTAAAAATTATCTATTTCTGTTTCTTTCTACCTGATCTACCGCACTTGATCCCCTTGATGTGTAAAGTTGGTATTTTAAAAAATGAAATATTGAATTTTACAACCTGTCCAGCACGAGTCACAAACTAATTGGATGTGTAAAAAAATACTACGTCGAACAAAAAAAATTGTAAACATATTATGAAAATAAAGGTTGTTATGGGAACTAGAAAAAAGTAGTTCACGATTATTATTTGCTTTATTGTCCTGCGCGATAGTCAAATGGTAGAGTAGAGACTGAAATCCTGAACATTTGTGTTCGCGCCCTTTAAGTATGGGATTAATGGACTTCAGGTGATGGAGTTTTGAGACATCAAAAGTTACAGCGCATTTTTAAGATGATTGAGAAACAAAACGTAGCAAATATTTTGTAACAGTTTTGTGAAATTCAAATTTTACGGTGTTGTGACATTCAAATTTTAACAGTTTTGTAAAATTCGAATTTTAACGGTTTTGTAAAATTCAAAATTTAATGGTTTTGTAATATTTAAATTTTAACAGTTTTGTAAAATTCGAATTTTAACGGTTTTGTATAATTCAAATTTTACCCGTTTTGTAAAAGTTTTAAAGATCAAAAAACCAGAGGTCGAAGTCGATGAAGCAAACTCACTTCACTTCACTAAAATTTCAATCGGTTTTAAGTCAGCTCGAGTGAACTCATTTTTTTCGTGTTCACTCGAGTCGACTTTTAACCGAGTTGATTTTTTCGTGTTCACTCGAGTCGACTTTTAACCGAGTTGATATTTTCGTGTTCACTTTAGTCGACTTGAAACCGACTTGATTTTTTCGTGTTCACTCGAGTCGACTTTTAACCGAGTTGATTTTTTCATGTTCACTTTAGTCGACTTGAAACCGACTTGAGTTCACTAAGGAAAAAAAATGTATTATAACAACCTTCTTCTGCTGGTGCTTGTGAAGTATATGTGATTACATACAAAATTGCAGAATTTGTCCTTTTTTACTTTTCATAACCATATAGCAAACTAAACGAATTAATTTAAAATATTTGCACTATAGATTATTTTTCTGATTTGAAATTATTTATTACGAACTGCTACAATTATGAATGAAATTTATTTTAATTCACACCATATTTCTAATTTTGGTGAATATATTTTAATTTCAGATTTATTTGTTTGATCTCTGGAAAAAGGATACAAAAATTGTGCTGCA